TGGAAACAAAACGTGTTTCCGGAAAAAAGAAAAAAAAAAGATGAAAAATGAAAAAAAAATTTAAATGAAAAAATATATGAATATATTTTTTTTTCTTAAGCAATACATTTCAGTGTGACTTGTGATAGAACATTTTCTTTTTTTAGGTAATAAATAAATAAAAAACAAAATGAGTACATCAGTTTGTCTCCATGAGTGTTCATTACTAGCCCATTCAATAACATTGAGTGAAAGCTGCTACTCAGTCTAATATTTCATGTGGGAATGTGTTTCATAAGGTAACATGAGTGGCATATGAAAATGTAGAGAAGCTTGGAAATGTATTGATGAAATATGTAATTGATGATAGATCTCAACCAACACAGATGGCTGAGGGGTGGTCAGGGCTTATGAATGGATTATTGTGGGCCTGCTCATGGAGGCCTAGGGGCCCAAGAGGTCTGGGAGCTGTAAAACAGCCAAAGGACACCTGAAAGTCAAATATCTCTATCATTGTTGAATAGAAATCAAATATATATTTTCTAGACTACAGAGTGGTGCAGGAATTAATCCTTAAACTTGGAAATGAGTTAGCATGTTAGCAGGGGCGGCGGGTGCTGTAGGCTAGGGAATTAGCCTTCCCAAATATTTGTGTCACTGCATCCTGGTAAAATACAAATATAATGTATAATGTCTGTGTCTTTGACATTAGCTCTGCTAGCCACCTGTGCCCTGTACTAGGAAGCCAGTTCAACATACCCTGGATATGTTTGAGTAACAAACAAACTAACAAACGAGATCTCGCTAAGCGGTCCTACGACGCTGGTTATCAACTCGGTAAATCAAGCCAGGGTTTCTCTCACCAGCTTAGAGCGCGTTCACGTGAAAGGGGCGGGGTTAGCTACATTTGACCAATCACAAACAGGGACAAGTGTACTGACAGCGCAGCGTCATACTTCATTAATGAAAAGTAAACTAATATTAGACAAATATGAACTTTAAACATCCATGATTTAAACATATAATCCAGGATACAAGCCACAGAGTTGCACTTGCAAGGTGAATACAGAACAACTGGTTAAAAAATAACTAGGCCTACCGAGTGTTTGAAAGCGTATAGTTTTATGATATCACTGCCCCGTCTAAGACACGAGTGGATCTGACTTTAATTACATTTGACTCGAGTGTTTCGTCAACATAATGTGTTGCTTAAAATAATACTTCTGCATACAGTATGTGACACTGTAAGTGTTGCACGGCCATATACGGCTGGAGAAGCTGACTCAGATAAGGAAATATATGATAGGCTATATTATGATATTATATGATCGATGCTCAAGGTGTGAGGCGCCGGGCGGGTGTGGGGATACTCACAAGTCCCCGGTTAGGTGCTTCGTTGTTGGAGTTTACCCCAGTGGACGAGAGGGTCGCCTCCCTACGCCTGCGGGTTATGGGGGGGAAAACTCTGACTGTTGTGTGTGCTTATGCACCCAACAGCAGTTCAGAGTATACGGCCTTCTTGGAGACCCTGGAAAGAGTCCTGTATGGGGCTCCTGAAGGGGACTCTTTAATCTTGCTGGGAGACTTCAACGCACATGTGGGCAATGATGGAGACACTTGGAGGGGCGTGATTGGGAGGAACGGCCCCCCTGATCTGAACCGGAGTGGTGGTTTGTTACTGGACTTCTGTGCTAGTCATGGATTGGCCATAACAAACACCATGTTCGAACATAAGGATGCTCATAAGTGTACGTGGTACCAGAGCACCCTAGGCAGAAGGTCCATGATCGATTTCGTTATCGTATCATCGGACCTGAGGCCGTATGTTTTGGACACTCGGGTAAAGAGAGGGGCGGAGTTGTCAACTGATCACCATCTGGTGGTGAGTTGGGTCGAGTGGCGGGGGAAGCCTCTGGATAGACCTGGTAAGCCCAAACGTGTAGTTCGGGTGAACTGGGAACGTCTGGAGGAGGCCCAAGTTCAGGAGGCCTTCAACTCACACCTCCGGCGGAGCTTTTCGGGCATTCCTGTGGAGGTTGGGGACATTGAACCAGAGTGGTCGGTGTTCAAAGCCTCTATTGCCGAAGCCGCGGCGGGGAGCTGTGGTCTCAAGGTCCTAGGTGCCTCAAGGGGCGGTAACCCTCGAACCTCCTGGTGGACACCGGTGGTCAGGGAAGCCGTCCGACTGAAGAAGGAGGCCTTCAGGGATTTGTTATCCCGGGGGACTCCCGAGGCAGTTGCAAGGTACCGACAGGCCCGAAGGGCAGCAGCCTCATCCGTGGCCGAGGCAAAGCAGCGGGTGTGGGAGAAGTTCGGAGAAGACATGGAGAAGGACTTTCGGGCGGCACCAAAGTTGTTCTGGAAAACTGTCCGACACCTCAGGAGGGGGAAGCAGGGAACCATCCAAGCTGTGTACAGTAAGGATGGGACGTTGTTGACCTCAACTGATGGAGTGTTAGGGCGTTGGAAGGAACACTTTGAGGAACTCCTGAACCCGACAACTCCGCCCTCTATGTTAGAGGCAGAGCTGGAGTATGACGGGGGATCAACACCAATCTCCCGGGGGGAGGTCACTGAGGTCGTCAAACAACTCCACAGTGGCAAAGCCCCGGGGGTGGATGAGATCCGCCCGGAAATGCTGAAGGCTCTGGGTGTTGAGGGACTGTCATGGTTGACACGTCTCATCAGCGTTGCGTGGAAGTCGGAAACAGTACCGAAGGAGTGGCAGACCGGGGTGGTGGTTCCCCTATTTAAAAAGGGGGATCAGAGGGTGTGTGCCAATTACAGAGGCATCACACTACTCAGCCTCCCCGGGAAAGTTTACTCTAAGGTACTCGAAAGGAGGGTCAGGCCGATTGTCGAACCTCAGATTGAGGAGGAACAATGCGGATTCCGTCCTGGTCGTGGAACGACGGATCAGCTTTTTACTCTCGCAAGGATCCTGGAGGGGGCCTGGGAGTACGCTTATCCGGTCTACATGTGTTTTGTAGACTTGGAGAAGGCGTATGACCGAGTTCCCAGGGAGTTACTGTGGGAGGTGCTGCGGGAGTATGGGGTGAGGGGGTCTCTACTCAGGGCCATCCAATCTCTGTACTCCCAAAGCGAGAGCTGTGTCCGGGTCCTCGGCAGTAAGTCGGACCCATTTCCGGTGAGGGTTGGCCTCCGCCAGGGCTGCGCTTTGTCACCAATCCTGTTTGTAATATACATGGATCGGATTTCGAGGCGTAGTCATGGGGGAGGGGGTCTGCAGTTCGGTGGACTAAGGATTGCACCACTGCTTTTTGCAGATGATGTGGTTCTAATGGCTTCATCGGTCTGCGACCTTCAGCACTCACTGGATCGGTTCGCAACCGAGTGTGAAGCGGCTGGGATGAGGATCAGCACCTCCAAATCTGAGGCCATGGTTCTCAGCAGGAAACCGATGGACTGTCCACTCCAGGTAGGGAATGAGTCCTTACCCCAAGTGAAGGAGTTCAAGTATCTCGGGGTCTTGTTCTCGAGTGAGGGAACAATGGAGCGTGAGATGGGCCGGAGAATCGGAGCAGCGGGAGCGGTACTGCAGTCGCTTTACCGCACCGTTGTGACGAAAAGGGAGCTGAGCCAGAAGGCAAAGCTCTCGGTCTTCCGGGCCATTTTCGTTCCTACCCTCACCTATGGTCATGAAGGATGGGTCATGACCGAAAGAACGAGATCGCGGATACAAGCGGCCGAGATGGGTTTTCTCCGCAGGGTGGCTGGTGTCTCCCTTAGGGATAAGGTGAGAAGTTCGGTCATCAGGGAGGGACTCGGAGTTGAGCCGCTCCTCCTTCGCGTCGAAAGGAGCCAGTTGAGGTGGTTCGGGCACCTAGTTAGGATGCCACCTGGGCGCCTCCCTAGGGAGGTGTTCCAGGCACGTCCAGCTGGGAAGAGACCAAGGGGTAGACCTAGGACCAGGTGGAGGGATTATATCTCTTCGCTGGCCTGGGAGCGCCTTGGGATCCCCCAGTCAGAGCTGGTTGATGTCGCCAGGGAAAAGAAAGTTTGGGGCTCTCTGCTGGAACTGCTACCCCCGCGACCCGACCACGGATAAGCGGGAGAAGATGGATGGATGGATGGATGATCGATGATCTGATATGAATGATAAGTGCGACACGTCGGCGTCTTCTCTGCATACGGCAGTTAAAACTGTATTTCCTTTATCCTGTAATATGACTTGAGAGATTTAAACTCCGCACACTGAGTTGATCTCTTTTCTATAGACGCCGGAGGCGGGCAGCGTCAGGTAAAAAAAGTTATTTAGCCTTCCCAAACCTGAGCCTCACGCGCCGCCTATGCATGTTAGCCTGTCCGGTTCGCCAGTTAATGTTAATATCTGGTCAGATGCCTGAAATAAGTTCCAAGGTTAAAAACAGTTTAGGGACTTCATAGTTTTATTATACGGCAAAAAATATGTCAGTGAATACCCCACTAAGGGATCTCTGAAGCGTCTATGTGTCATAGAAAAGGTGGTTGCTTTAAGTGACTATATGAGACATTTTAACGTCATCACGCTGAACATGGGTCCGCCTTTAGCTTTGTGGTTGTGAATTGAAGCCATGCAACCCGTGATGTAGTTTATAGCCTATAGGTTCTCTTTTTAGTTCTGGTGATAGGCATTTACACAAAAGTGGTGTTATTATGTGGAGATTATCCTGGATTAAACAAAACCGTCAATTATCATAAACGTGTGTTGGCCACGGAGCTTTTTTGTACAATATTCCGAAATCCCATGAAAAATCACAAAGGCTTTTTGTCGAGGGTATCCTTGGGATGCTAACTTCCGGGTCAGCCTACAAAAATCATCCCTGCACCGTTTTATGCACAAATAATGAAGTTTAGCGCAAATTCAATTAGGAAGACCAATACCCCCTGGTGTTACACTTCAATACCCTCTCCTCTCCCAATAAGTGATCAGGGGCGTTAGCTATAGCCAATCATCGCACCCGCTAACCCCTTTAAATCTGCTCTTCCCTCTCTGTCAGTTGTCATTTCAGGCATCAACGCACAAGTATACGCGTCACTGTGTTCATGGTTAAGGCAAGCAGCAGCAGGGCTTCGTCCCAGCTCCAGGCATATATTCATCAGCTCCGCAGTCTTGCGGATTAAGCTACAGGCGGCGTTCCCCAGTCGGCTAGCGGTTCCAGCCGGCCGCCCCGCAAACCCGGACGCGGGAGGAAAAGACAAGGAAATCGGCTCCACGGAAGTTGTTCCGGCTTAATGGGGATGGCCTATTTCACGCAAACAATTGACGCACGCCTTCAGTCTCTCGAACGGGCGGAACGGGCCCTCATCGCATGCGAAGTTTACCCATCTCTGGCTTCAACCACAACCCCTCCTGCAGGCAGGCAGGGCTTAAGCCACATCCCATTGAAGCTACTTCACCTCCCGGCTCATAGTTTCAAGGTGCGGTCGCGTTCTATTCAATCGTTCAAGCGCTACTGCTCGTCACAACTCTATTCGCTTTAGCGTAGGCTACTAGCATGACTGGTATTGCTCAGGGCAATCTCGATGACAACGGTCAATGTTCCCCCCTTTCTACGCACGGAGATAATGTAATCTTAATAGTGCGCAGGCCAAGGCTGGCTCTTCAAAGCAGATATTAACAACGCGCTTTAAAGTTCCCATCATCCGTTCAGCAGAACTCTTTCAGCCTCAAGCGGGAGTCAAGTAAGGACAAACTACGCGTGCACCGGCTATTCGGTTAAATAATGTTAATAGTTGTCTCTCCCCAGTGCATCACCCACTGCTCAGGGAGATCCCCTCATGCGTTGCCTTTACACCATCTAGTGTTCAAATACAACACTACTAACCTATAACTCCGCTCAACTGGGAAAGAGAAGAAGAAGAAAGAAGAAGCGACTCCTCCAGGAGCACAGCGTTCTTAATCACGAGGAACTATAGGCCCAGTCACACGGAGTTCCTAGGCATCACATCAAACTCATGGTATTAACGTTCCTCTAACCAAACTGCGTGCATCCACATAAAAACGTCTTCAACGACAGTTGCTCTTCCTCACCGGGCAACCGTACTTCGCATGCGGATAATCTTCGGCACGCCACGATCTCCCGTTTCTGGACGTGGCATCCGCCGGCCTCACGACGACCGCGTTTTTTCCCCGACTCTTAAGGACGTGCACTGCACATCCTCCGTTTTGGGGGGAATATCTGCATGAGATCATCCGCCATAGCGGCACGCTCAGATTTCCTATCGCTTACACATTACACTCGCTGGATCTAACACTAGCGTCCCTTCATCATTCTCATTTCAGATGATAGAAGACAGTCTTAATCACTCAATCAGCTCATCAGCATGTATGACTCATCGGCGCACTTAACTGCTAATTAAGCTATACTAGCCTATATCATGGGTTATGTCTCAGTATTTAACTAAGTGTACGTCTTTTCTGCGTGCATCCTGCACTTCATTCATATTCTCGGGTTCATGCTCACTTGGCTCGTGTTAAGCCAGGTTATGATATTCATGCATCACCGTACTCAAGCTAACAGCTCTCGGGCATTATATCGTCGACATCTCCCTCTTCGCCCGGACATCGGCTCGTGCTGCCAATCAAGATCCCTTCAGTTTACCTATGGTAAATATGCATATAACTGGTGGTGGTGTCTTAATAGCATATCAGGGCTTTCGTTCAGACAGGTGCTGCCATTCAAGGCATATCTCCCTCATCCCTGCAACTCGGACGGTGATCCTCCTCCGCCTTCATATTCCACATTCGCCCGGACATCAGTGCGTGCCGGCTATCCAAGGTCTCAAACACTAAACTTGGTAATTATGCATATAACTGGTGGCGGTTTCATAGCACGTCAGCATGTATACGTGTTACTGCGTTCACGTCTAACCGCATGTCAGGTTGTGACCTCCGGGTCTGCGTTCCGTGTAACCCTGCACGTCAGGTCGTGACCTCCGGGTCTGTGTTCACGTTTAACCCTACACGTCAGGTCGTGACCCCCGGGTCTGCGTCATGTTTAACCCTGCCAGTGCAGGTTGCGGCCAGCGGGTCAGCATCATGTTTAAACCCTGCGCGTGCAGGTTGCGGCCAGCGGGTCAGCGTCATGTTTAACCCTGTGTGTGCAGGTTGCGGCCAGTGGGTCAGCGTCATGTTTAACCCTGTGTGTGCAGGTTGCGGCCAGTGGGTCAGCATCAAGTTTAACCCTGCGTGTGCAGGTTGCGGCCAGTGGGTCAGCGCATGTTTAACTTGTGTGTGCAGGTTGCGGCCAGTGGGTCAGCGTTCGTTTAACCCCGCTACGCCAGGCGTTAACCCATGGTCGGCGTTCACGTAAACCCGGCAGTGATTCTGGCATTCTCATCATGTCCCTGTGCTATCTCTCATTTCATCCACAGATCTCCGCAATCAGCCAGTAAGGTAAGAAATGCTTCACATCTCAGTACTTCATACTTCACATCTTTTGGGGGTTCATCGGAGCGGTTGTCCCCTCCCGAATGATCATCCTGCAAACCAGGGCCTAATCGCCAAACATCAGTTCATTCATTTGTTGTAATCTGTCAATCACCATTCTCTCATATCATGTGTCCCGGTAATAAACATGTATTTCATGTCTCTCCTGATTGAAATGAAGCTTAGCGCAAGTTCAATTAGGAAGACCAATACCCCCTGGTGTTACACGTCATTTCAATACCCTCTCCTCTCCCAATAAGTGATCAGGGGCGTTACTCCCCAGCTAGCCAATCATCGCACCCGCTAACCCCTTTAAATCTGCTCTTCCCTCTCTGTCAGTTTTCATTTCAGGTGTCAACGCACAACCCTCCTCCACCCCTTTGCCTCCGTCTCCTAATACAGGGCCAAGCTAAAATCTTCTCCCTTCAGAACCGGACCGAACTACTTATCACCACCATCAGTGTCTAGACCCCGGGGGGTTCATCGGAGCGGTTGTCCCCTCCCGAATGATCATCCTGCAAACCGGGGCCTAATCGCCAAACATCAGTTCATTCATTTGTTGTAATCTGTCAATCACCATTCTCTCATATCATGTGTCCCGGTAATAAACATGTATTTCATACATCATGTCTCTCCTGATTGAACTGATATCCAGGTGCAGCTTTCAACCAAAACAGCAGTTTAGACTTTTGGTTAACCTGCTAAATGTTACTGAAAAGAACCGGGGAAACTAGTTTTTTGTGTGTGTATGTGTGGGTGGAAAAAGGTGGAGTGTGGGGGCAGTTCAGTGAGAGCCAACAGAAATGTTCTCCACATCTGTGAGTGCAGCCCGGCTCGAGATGAGACAGAATATGGAAGTGGAGTGACAGCTGGGAGAAGGAGAAAGAGCCGTGCCTCATGTGAAGTCCTGCTTCCTGACACATGTACTTACAGCAAAATGTGTTTTGAAGCAGTACTTGTAGCTCCCCTCTTTTTTTTTTGCAACCAGCGAGGCTGAGAACAGAGCTTGACTCGGAGCATCAAGAAACAGCTGAAAGAGGATTGAACATGAAAGAGAAGAGCTAGTGTCAAAGCATGGCTGATGCAGGGCGCTGCTAGGAGCTGCAACATAGCAGGAAGACAGAACTGTTTCTGCACTTCATAGTCATAGGCTGATATTTTAAGCGTCTTTAAACAAGGCAGAACTTATCTAACTTAATCAGACTCAGGGATTTAGTTGATAATGTAACAGGCCAGATGCCTCGTGCTGTTTATACCTCCATTGTGATAGAAGCCAAGGACTAGACATGTGTCCCTTGGCCTTGACCTCCCTTCCTCTTTCTGCAGATGATTCTGGTAATGAAAGCCTCCTACACAGTGGCCTTCTGCACATAAGCAAACACGCCTCCTCTCTGTCCGTGGCCTGTGGTGAACGCGGGGCCAGCAAAGTTTGATAAGAGAAGCAGGATGAAAGCGGGTATCGATGAGAGCTCATTGATTAGCCCACCAATGGTCATGCATTTCCCTGAAACCGCAGGATAGATAAAGGGGCAGACTAAATATGGAGATGTTGGCTGCCTGCTTTTATCAGCTATTAGAGTAAGGTAAACTCAAACAGTTTCAGGTTAACGCCTGTCACTTTGTTATTCAGCCTGGTGTAATGTTTGGTAAAGGCTTCAGCCCACAGTCCCCGCTGTTAATGATCACATTGAAAGCTTTTCTGGCATTGAGCTACACCCAAGCATATCTCAATTGGATGAAATGTAAAGCTTAAATGTAAATATTTTAAGAAGACAAACAGATAGGGATTTAAAATGCATTTTATCGGTCAAAAGGAACAACTGTGTTTTTTTAATTCTGATGTTTTTTTCTTTTTCTCTTCAAGAATAAAACGGTAAATGAAAAGATATTGGAAAAGGGATAAAGAAACTAACTTTTTATACGGGTTTCTCCTTCACTTGTCAGTTAGGTGAGACTCAAGCACAACAAACCACAAGTGAGACTGAGCCCACATGTTTACAATGCATACAGCAGGTGTTTCTAACGTAGGCCTACTGCTCTTACACTGATTAGGCTATGTATTTTTGACGGTTTGCTGTTCACAGCTTTACATTTTACTGGATGTAACGTGAGCATGAAGTGCAGTTGATACATTCTCATGGCTTCTAGTCATACTGCAACTATCAGAAGCCTTTTTCTGAGAAGTCCCTGCCTATTTCTGACTTCACCAGTCTCAGCCTCCACATTTATCTGCAGCATTCTGCAAGCTTGCCGTCTGTGGATGTCTGCTTTGAGACAGAGGAGAACAGAGAGGGCTCAGCTGCCACCGCAAACTGAAACCCTGCGGCTCTGGGATTTGAGAGGAGTTCCGCAAAGTTGGGGTTTCACACGTTGTTGTGTGATGTAAGATAAGACATTTTCAGCTGTATCCTCCCTTCACTTAAAAATACACACATGCACACACACAAGCATAACGGAAAATTTTCCAGGATGTCACACCGCATGAAGGGGTGTAGTATACCCTCTTGTAATAATGAAAGTTCATGGCATGTGTGTGTAGTTAGCTGTTTGTGTGTGAGGGCTGCATAAGCTATGTGCATTAGGCTACCTCTCATAAGTTAGTTCAAAACCACTGAAAGAAAAACAAGGTGCTTTTTTTCCCCCAAAGAATTAGAAAAAGTGAAATAAAATGTAAAGATGTTTCCGCTGTGAACATGCAAAACACAGATTGCAGAGACAGGTTACCTTATGATGTACCCTTTGCTAAATTAATTTAAAAAAACCTTCAAGGTGTTAAAAAATACCTTTAAAAAAAGCTTTTATAACCTTTTTAGATAAGAAGATGGAGACCACTCTCATCTCATGTGTGCTAAATATGAGGCTATAGCCAGGAGTGGGTTAGCTTAGCTTAGCACAAAGAATCACAACATATGAAAACAGCTAGTCTGGGTGTGTCTAAAAGTGACAAAACCAACCCTACAGTTTCTTTAAAGGTCATAATTTATGGTAATAATTATCAAGTAATATTAGTAATACCTCATTTGAATTGTTATAGTATAAATATATATATATATATAAAGTATGTTTGAATAGTATAAAAAACATGCTAACATGGTATGCTAGCTTCATTTAAACCAAGTGTCAATCTTACTAAATGTGCTTAATAACCCCAAAAGTCTAGGCTATTATTTTCAGATATGTATTCTATATATCATACATTTTCGCATTATCAAACATTCTTAGTTTCTTTGTTGTTTAAGACAGATTTAGGCTCACTAAGCTATTAGGGATACATTTTTAGGCAAAACATTTTCCCTACTTTGTGGATGTTGTTTTCTTCGAAACCTTCCCTTTCCATATTTTGCTTTCATGCATGCTTGTCTCTTCTTTGAATATAAGCTTTTAGCATTTTAAATAAGGATAACAAACAAGCTATTTGCTTTGATAAAAGCCCCATCTGCACAAGAGAGTAATGAAGCGAACACACTGATGATGCATTTTCTTCAGGTCAGGGCATAAACATCAGAGCTCTGCTTCCCAGTCTCCTCCGCTGTTTGCATGGTCAACAGGGACCTTGTTGTATTTTGTCTATTTTTGTTTATTCCCTGCACAGTTTAAAGAGAAGAATGGCTTTCTGTTTGAAACATTACCTGATGGATATGTATGCAGCTGTGAGGCTGTGAAGAGAACCTTTGATATATTTTTCAGGCTCTACACACACACACACTCGGCAGGAACACACACATGCACTCTAAGGTGCTCAGCTGTCCATCCCCATCCATGTGGAGCCGACCTCCGAGCTTGACCCTCTGACCCCGTGGAAAATCACACAGAGGTCATGGTTAAAATAAACCCTAGAAACTGGGTAAACAGGATGTGTACACCCACCCAGACATATGGCACTCACTAATCAAACACCACTTAGCTGGGAGAAAAAGAGGAGGAAATCATCTCTGAGGAAGCTACAAGCCCACAGTATTAGTAAAAAACCTTCTGTACTGTAATATAAATGGATCAAGCTGCTTAGCAACAAAACCAGCGGCTCCTCGAGCTTAGCAAGTGTTCTCTCATCAAAAGTACACTTATTTATTTTAAGACCAAGACAAATACTTCTGAGAAGAATTTGAAAATGTCAAAGTAGTACATACAGCGTGAGGAGTTTTCTGTAATGAATCAGAACAAACATAATGCACTGATAATAAAAGCAATCTATCAGGCCTACAGTATTCTGTGCCCTGCATTACTGCCTCTGTTCATGTTAGGATTACTTTTATTACATCCTCTAAGGTGGATATGTTTATGGCAGTTTGTCTGTTTGTCTGTCAGCAGGATAATGGAAAAACTACTGGCTCGATTCTCATGAAACTTGAAGGAAGGATGTAACATGGGCCAAGGAATATCCCATTACATTTTGGAGCAGCTCTGAGCCACTGGTGCACATATTTCACTGTTGATAACATTGCATGATAAGACATTTGTCCTGCAGTCATGTGGCGATGAAAAAATCAGGAAAACTATTTCCTCATGAGAATGCCCCAACAAGTATAACCCACAACTCTGAAATACCTTATTCCTTGGACAATGGCATCCATGTTGAAGCTCATGAACACAGCAAGGTTGGGAAATGTGAATATGTGAGGAACCAGTTAATGCACTGCTGGCCCTGTTGGAGAGAGATATGATCAAAAGCTTTTTTTTTTTGCCACATTTTAAGCATGTGGGTTTTTATTTGAATGTAATAGAAATTACATTTTTGTCTCCCACACATTTTGGGATGAAATAAAATATCAGACTACGAACAGTGGTCTTTTTACTCTTTATAATTGTAGTTCACTATTGTATCGCTGTTTTATGGGGTGCTCTCATACTTTCTGCTCTGGCCTCTGCACTTTGATGTTGCTGTTACTCACAGATTTAGCACTTGGGAGGTTTCTGGCAACTGTTATTTGTGAAATGCCCTTTTTGACGGTGTCCGACCTCCACCTCTCCCCTCTCTCTCACACACTCTTTTTCCTCTGAGTAGAAGATCAGGTACCTTTCAGCAGTTGCTCCAGTGACCTTTAGCAGCTGTGGGAGTGAAATTGGCTGAGCTTCCTTCACCTCATGCTAGTTCCCTCTTGCTCTCTCTGCATCTCTCTTCGCGTCTATTGTATAAATATACTCTCCTGATTTACATATCTACAATTTTCAAAGTTCACAATATTTGCAAATTGGCATGTGGTATGATTTACAACTGCAGAAAATAGTTTTTGCCATTGAAGGAATACAATAAAAGGTGTTTTTTCCTGTTAATCTTCACTTTTTCAGCCTCTGTGGCACATGATCGATTGCACTGAAGAGTTCTGACATTACAACCCTGTCAAAATGTATTTACAAAGTACAGCCTGTTATGGCAGCATATAGCAAACTGGATCTGTTGATGCCAAGCTGGCCTGGACAGTCCAACATTAACGGAATGCAAACCTGTTCTCATCTTTAACGAGGCACAGTTTGGAGTCTCTATACATATGCAACCCAGTCTCACGGCATTTCGTGTTATAGTCACGACATTTAATGTATTGATTCGTGTTCACCAACATGATTTTCCCCTTTTTTTCGTGTCAGACAGAACGATTTTAAAAGCAATGTATTTCTATTGGTAGTGT